CTCTGTGCCTCCTTTCTTACACAGTTCAGGACACCCTGCCTGGGGGTGGTGTGGTTCTTCGCAGGCTGTGTCTTTCCAGATCAGTTAACCTAATTATGATAGTCTCCATGCCCCCAGGCAGACCTAAGGTAGACAGTCTCTCATTAATACTCTCAGACCATGTGATTCCATTTTATTTGAAGTGGACAGTTAAAGCTAACCACCACAATAGTATAGGCAATTATGGTCACGCAAATGCCCTGGGCTAGTGCCACATATAATTAGTCTCCTAAGACAGAACTCCATAACGATACACCTACTTCTTGACCTAGATAGATACAAAGCTGCTTCATGTGAATAGCAATCAATGGGCGGGACGCTTATTAATTAAAGCTCCAAAGATATAATTTCTTACATTGTAGGCCTGTAAGACAGGACTGAAGACAATATTTTCCTTATATCTTCTGTCTTTTTTTTTTTTTTTTAACTCTCTACATTTCCTTCTACATTTGGCTATCTTCTTGTCCATCTCGGTTTATGATAATCTCAGATTGCCCAAAGCATGCTGAGAGAGAGAGAGAGAGAGAAGAAATAAAATAAACCCATTCACAAAATGGTGTTTTGTATTCCTAAAAGTGTTATTGGCGTTTAGGTGGAGTTATAGGGAGGAGAATGAACAACTAGTGAGGGAATTTTGTACACTAAATGGGATAATTTGGGGCTTTGAAACTTTAACGGGTTCACGCTGAGTGAATAAATTCCGCATTTACTCACTCCACACTTCTGACATCCTGACTCTCTCAGGAGTTACGCTTGAAATTGCTACTTAAGTGAGAAAAAAAAAAAAACATGAAAGCACAAGGGTGGATATTTGGTAAAGGGAATGTGACTGGAGAAGGGGGTAAATATGATCAAAGTACATCATGTGTGTGTATGAAAATGTCATGACGGGAACAAGAGGGATGGCTCAGTGGTTAAGAGCACTGGCTGCTCTTTCAGAGGACTGAGGTTCAATTCCCAGCACCCACATGGTGGCTCACAACTGCCTGTTACTCCAGTAATAGGGGATCTGATGCCCCCATATCAGTGTGCATAAAATAAAATAAAGAGGGAATGTCCTAACGAATCTCATTATTTTGCATGCAATTAATACATGCCAATAAAAAGGAAAAATAATAAAAATACCCCTACTTAAAATTTCATACTAAAATATGTTCAAAGATAAAATTATGAATGTAATGAGAAAATTCAAAATATAATGTGAATTAAGTAAGTTACCTAAGAGCTGAAAATCTCTTAACCAATTTTGCTTTTGACATTTGAAACTATGCTGTGTGAGAAACACAGTTTTTTTTTTCTCTTAACTTTGGCTTCTCTAGTTTCCAAAAGAAGAAATTTTTTTCTATATCTCAAGTATAATACTTTATGTGATTTTCTTTTAGTTTTTATCATCTAAGATAATTCATCAAATTCTAAGCATTTAAAAAAATAAAGAGAATTATCCTTTGGATTTTAAGACTAAGGTTCAGATCTGTCCCTCTGTCAGTGGACAGCCATTATTGATTAAAATGACATTCAGAGCTAGCCATTAGTCACAGAAATGAGATTTCTAAATTCTGATGAGTCCTGAACTCATGCCTGAACAATAGGAGGGGTTACGGAGTCCACAAGGGGGTAACTCTCAGATTAAAAATTAGGTAAGAGTATGGGATGGCTGCAGATGTAGTGAAAACAGGAAAAAATCTATTTGAATACTCTAAGAAAGTATGGGTTAACAAGATTGAAAATTATGTGTTGGAGCTAGGGAAGTAGCTCAACCAGCAACGCACCTGTCCTACAAGCATGAGGTATTGAATCTGAGCCTGACCCCACATGAAAAAGTTGTTCCTGGTGGTGCACATACTTGTTACTCCCAGCTCTGAGAGGCAGAGACACGCACCTGCCTGGGACTCACCAGCCGGGCAGCCTAGTCCATTTAGCAAACTCCAGACCAAGGAGAGACCCTGTCTCAAAACCAAGGTGGACAGTTCCTGAGGAACCCAATTCTTCTATTTTAGCATTCAAGAGGAATTTTTCCTGTGGATGCCACATTCTTCTGGCTTTTCCCTTACCACTCTGGAAGCTTCCCCCCCACCTCACTTTCTTTCTTATGAGTTTTTTCTCTTCCACAGGTTCTTAGGGGCTAGGTGCTGTACTCTTTTTTGCTTGTTTTGTTTGTTTGTTTGTTTTCTTTTTGAAAAGATTTATTTATGTGTATGTGTGCTTGCTTGCAAGAGTTTATATGTACCACATGCGTGCAAGAGATTTTGAGTGCCAGAAGAGACTGTCAGATTCCCTGGAACTGAAGTTACAGGCAGCTGACATGGGGCACTGGGATCTGAACCCAGGTCCTCTGCCAGAGCAGCAAGTACTCTTAACCGCTAAGCCATTTCTTCAGCTCCCCTGTTCTTCTTTTTTTTCTTTTATTTTCTTTTGTTCTTTTTTTCTCTTTCTTTCTTTCTTTCTTTTTTTGAGATGAGATTTTACTATGTAGCTCTGGCTGGCTTAGAACTCACTGTGTGGTCAAGGCTTGCCTTAACTCACAGAAATTCTCCTGACTCAGGTTTCCTGAGTGTTGGGATCACGAATTCGAGTTGCATGCCCCACTTTTTTGCTTCCCTTCACAATCCTGGTGTGGGTGATCTCACTCTGTAAGTTTTGTTTAATCACCTAGGAACTGGCCAGTCTCAGCTTTATTTTTCTCTGCAATCTAGGCTTCCTTCTGACTCTAGATCTGACTTCGTTTGTGTGGGACACAAATAACTGTCCCAAACCGAGGTAATGTCTTCTCACCAAACTGTTTCTCTTCCAGAATTTCCTCTTTTTCAAGTTACTAGCAGAAGTGGAAGGGTCAGAACCTGGGCAAGTCTAAGAAGCTCAGCTCAGCCACTAGCCCTTAACAGGCCGCTTACAAAGACAAAGGACAATATATTTAATGAATATGGGCACATTGAGGAGAGAAACTCCTGGGAAGGCTGGTGACCGACCAAGTCCCATCATCTGGGTCCTGACCTAAGATCTGGGTTTGCAAGAATGCAACTAAGCACTCCCGGTGGAGGTGTGGTCCCGTTCATCCCTGACCCACTAGCGTCTGGCCCTACCCTGTCCTTCCAGTTGCCTGCTTTCAGAATCATGTGAAAGACCTTCCTGGGAGATAGTTTCCTCCTCTGACTAGCATCAGGTCATCCGGCCTGAGACGACTGCAGACATTCCAGTTCCCTGGGGACTAGGGTGGAAATAGTCTAATAGCCCAAGGGAGGGTCACAAGTGTCTGTCTTTGGAATATCTTTTCTCCTGCTGGGATGGGGCATAGCCCCGTGACCTACTCTACAAAGAAGATTAGCTAGCATCACCCTTCTTCATTATCTCAATCAAGAAGTTACTACTGAGGCTAGAGAGGTGGCTCAGCAGTTGAGAGTGCTCAAGAGGACTCTGGTTCAGATGCCAGTGCTCAGGCCGAGTGGCTCACAGCAGCCTAAACTCCAGTGCTAGGGGATCTGGTGGCCTGCGTGGGCACTGGTGGCACATACCCATAAATAAAAGTTTTTAAAAAAAAATCACTGAAATCAGGCAGTTTGGGACTGAGAGGTAGCTAGCTCAGCCAGCTAAGCTATATAATGATAGCAAGTTAAGAGCACTTGCTTTTCTTGCTAGGGTCTTGGGTTTGGTTCCCAGCACCCATATGGTGGCTTACAATCATCATTAACTCTAGCTCCAAGGAATTTGACATTCTCTTCTGGTCTCTGAGGGCACCAGGCATGTACACATGCGCATACATATATACAGGCAACATTCACACATACAGGGTAAATACAATATATAAATCTAACAGAAAGATAAACAAAACCAGTCAGTTCAACCTCCTAAATTTATGTCTGCCTACAATTCTCCAGCTCCACTATTACTGCTACAGTTAAAGTCATTTTCTAATTTCTGTATTATGTCAATAGCTTTGAAATTGTTTTTTGTTTTGTTTTTGCTTTTTGAGAGATCTCATTATTTTTTCCCTGGCTAGTCCCCAATTCTTGGGCTCAAGTAATTCTCCTGCCTCAGCCTCCTGAATATTCCCAGGTCAGATCACAGACATATCTATTTTATTTTTTCATTTTCAGTTTTGCCCTTCTCTCCTCCCTGCTTCAATTCATTGTTAAATTTTTGCTCTTTCTTTTTCTTTTTTCTTTTTTTTTTGTATGTTTACATGTGTGATGCATGCTCCTGTGGAGGCCTGAAATTGATGTCAAGTGTCTGCCTCAATCTCTCCACTTGTTGAAGCAATGCACTCTCACTGAACCCAGGGCTTGCCAATTCTGGCCAATCTAGCCAGTTAACTTACCCTGGGAATCCCCCTTCCAAGTGCTGGGGTTTTTAGGTGCCTACCACATCTGCCACTTTTACATGGGTTTTGGGAACTCTGATCCTCAAGCTTCAACCTCCAGTTGGTTTGTTTGTTTGTTTGTTTATAACTCATCAACCACAGTGATCTACTTGGAAAACAATTGTGATCATTCCTCCTCTTCATTTGCTCACACATCACTTAGTATCTACAGTTTGTTGGAAAACATTCTAGGATCTGGGAGTTGGATGAGACACTCAACAGGCAGGGCAATGTCTTAGTCTCTGGGATGTTCTACGTGACCTTTGCCATTGACCCCTTTCTCTTTTGCTTCCATATCACTCAGAACTTTTCCTAAGTCCATCCCACACCAATCTTTACAGTTTCCAAGTGTTAGCTTAAATTCCCTTCTTTGGGAAAACTTTCTGAAGAGGGTGTATGTTTGTGTATCTCCATCTAGAGTCATTTGCAGTTATAGACTTAAAATTTGTGTGCTTCTTTTTTGGGGCTATATAGTCAGATTTCTACACTGAAAAAAAAAGTCAAAAATAAGTTACAGGGACACCATCTTAATGTCTGCTCTTGGGGCTAGAGGGGAGAGAGACAGGAAAGGATTGAAGCATGTAGTCCTGATACCTGGATACTTCAAAAAAAGATGGCGCTCTTCATGAATGTGCCTGTCACCCAAGAACAAGGGCTGAGCTGATCTTCTCTGTATCGGTCTAACTTTAGTATCTGCTGCTGAACTGAGGGTTCTCTGTGCCTTTTAAATGTCTGTCTCTTCTCCCACTAGCTAGCTCCCTTTAAGCTCTGGAGAGAGGGGGGAAATACTTAGTACTTCCAGCTTCTGGCACACAGCAGCACCTCACTTGGTTACTTAAATAATGGAACATTTCACTAAAGGGAAATGCAGCAAACCACAATTAAGGTTATACATTATTTTTCTCCTTAAGAAAACGATACAGAGTTGAAGCTGAAGATTTTTTATTTCTGGCATTATTGCTTTGGAGAGAGAGAGAGAGAGGAGAGAGAGAGAGAGAAAAGCACACAAACATCAATCCAGTACAAAGCACAGACTGTGTCACTTCTGGATCTTTTCAGCATTTGCTATTGTTTTTAATGCACAGGGCAGCCATTCTAGCACTGGAGAAACACAGATGAAGCCGCTCTGAATGGGGAGTCCAGTGGAGCTGCTTTAAAAAGTGTCCTGAAACCAGGGTGCTTCAGTGCCCCAATTCCCCTATCCTCCTCAATACTTATCTTCCTATCCTGTATTGTAGTCTTAGAATTTGTTTTTCCAAAATATCAGTTATTTTATGGTCTTTTTCTTCCCTTAAGAAAATAAGCTACAAGAAGGCAAGGTTTTTTATTTTGTTCTTTTTTTATATTTTTTAATTAAAACAATTTTCTTTTGAGACACTGTAGGTTGCCCTGCCTGGGCCTCCCTGAGTGCTGAGAGTCAAGGCGTGGAATACCAGACCTGCAAAGGTTTGCGTTTTGTTCAGGGCATTATCTTTAGCACCCCCGGGGTTCAGAGGCAGGAAAGATAACCACCAACCCACCAGCTTCAAGTGGTAGGTTGTTTTTTTTTTTTTTTTTTTTTTTTCCCGTTTGAATATGTTTATTTCCTCCATGTGGTAACATTTCATTATCCAATGGTATCAGCGTACTGTATCTGGTCAACTGCTTTTTTTATTTTTATGTTGTGTCTGTTCCAGTCGCAGCAAAGGCTCTGGCAAACATAAAAAACAAAAACTTGGGAAAGTTAACTTGAGGGCAGTAGTCTAACCTGCTTTTGCTTTTCAGTAAAAGTTGGGTAAACCTAAAAAGGTAGGCTGAGGGCTCCTGTCTACGGGCAAGCTGGAGAAACATTTCACATACAAGAGCGAGCACCCTGAAACTGGCCTTTTGGGCACCCTTTCGGATTCTGGGCGTGAAAAGCACCAACGGTTTGTCAGCCTACAAGGATGGAAAGGGCCATAATTTCCGGTGCTCAGTGACCCCACAAGATCAGCGTCCATCTCAGGACAGGGTAGAAGAACACTTCCGGCGCCCCGTTTTTTCAAAAGGGGGCTTGCTGAGTCACCGCGAGCGGGTGAGGGAGCTCGGCGTCCGCTGGGTCGGCTCGCGTCGGCGCCGTCCCGCCGGGGAGTGCTTGCTCACCCGCGGAGCGCTGCCCGGCTTGCTCGAAACAGCCAGCGGCGCGCGTCACAATCGCAGCACGGCCTCTCCCGTCGTCCTCCGCCTCTTGGCTTTCGCCCCGCCCACGCCAGGTTTCGAAATGCTCTCTGGGTGCTCCGGGGCCCCGGCCCGTTCCTATTGGCCGCCCGCCTTCCTCGCTCCCATTGGCTGCTTCCGCAAACGTGACGGCTGTGCTGCCTTGTGATTGGCCAGAGGTCCTAGCGTCATCGGCTGTCAGGAGGTGGGATGAAGGAAGTCGGTGTGAGCGAGGCCGGGTTGGAGGAGGGGTTCAGGCCTGTCCTCCCCAGCGGCTGCGGCAGCAACAACGCCGGCCGCCGCCGCCGCTGCCGCCGCCGCCGCCGCCGCCGCCCCTGGGACCCGGAGGAGGAGGAGGAAGAGGAGGAGTGGCTGGAGGAGTAGGAGGAAGAGGTGGGCCTGGGGAGCGGGATGTCCAGCGCTACGACTTGGTGAATGCTGAGGAGAGTCGCGGTTGCTGCAGTCGGTGCCGCCGGGAAGAAGTTGTGGTGTGAGGCCGGGCGGGAGCTCACGACTTCGGGGCGAATCGAAGCACGGGGTCTGTGCGAAGAGTCTGCGCGATCCTTTCCTAAGCTGACCATGCCTGGAAGAAACAAGGCGAAGTCCACCTGCAGCTGCCCGGACCTGCAGCCTAATGGACAGGACTTGGGCGAGAGCGGCCGGGTTGCCCGTCTAGGAGCGGATGAATCTGAGGAAGACGGACGGAGCGGGTCTCTCAGTAATGCTGGCGACCCTGAGATCATCAAGTCTCCCAGCGACCCCAAGCAGTACCGGTGAGAGTCGAGGCTTGGACTGGGGAAGAACAGGGTGCCGGCTTCGGTTGGTGCTGAGTTACTTCTGGTCTCCGTGTTTCCTGGAGGAGCAACAGGGCGTTATCACTTCCCATCCCAAATGTGTTCTTGGGCGGAGGTGGCGATGGCAATTTGGGTTGTCCCGAAAGGAGTCACTGTGTAGCCATGGCTGTCCTTGAACCCACTCTGTGGTCCAAGTTGGCCTCGAATTTTGAGATCCGCCTGCCTCTGCCATCCACATGTTGTGATTAAAGGTGTGAGCCGCCATCGCCTGGCTAATTTTCACATTTATTAAAGCAGGGACCAAGGTTTCCGTGAGGAAGAGAGGGTGGGTAGTAAAGGGCGGTTTGGTGTGTTACCAGGAAAGCTGGACGGTTGGCGATCTTAATTTTGGTGGAGAGGATCTTTGAGATGTGTGTTATTTCTATTCAGTCTCAGTCCATATATATGAAAGTCTGTTAAAACACAAGAGAGGTAAAACAGATTGAAAATTACGAAGGGGCCGCTGTAGCTTTCATAAAAGAACTTTACACCACAGCCGGCCTGAGATGGAGTGGCTTGTGACTATGGTAGCTCGCCATAGCTTCTTTCAAAAGCTTATTAGAGAGAACTTGGACCTGAGTTGGGTGAATGGTAGGCTTGTAAGCGCCCATCTAATCCAATGTTTCAATCATCTGTAATGAATGGTGCCTGAGTCTCCACCTAAATAACCTTAAGAGTTAGTTTGTTTCATTAAACACGGGCATCTTGGATTTGAAACAGTTGATATGACCTAACAGCTTCGTTTTACTGGCTGAGGGCATTCAAACCTGGAGAGTTGCTCTCTCTCTCAGAATTAGACAGCAGAATAATATCGGAGCTTGTATGAAACTGCTGATCTGCCAAAAAGCCTTTGTACGCTGTGCCCATATTAGCCCGAGTAGTGTAGGCTCAGACTTACTATGAGCCTGTAGTGTGTTAAGGAATAGGAAGGAATCCTAGACATCACCCTTTCCACTTTCCCGGACTCCTGTTTTACAAACAGTGGAAACTCAGGTCCAGAAAGCAGTGACACAGACCCAACTTCAAGACCAGCTTAATTTCTCTATATAGTTTTTTTGTCAGGCTATCAGGGTTAAGATATCTTTCTAAATTAGGGATAACTTTTCTTGTCAGACATGTAGTTCCAACTTGTGAGCAAGTCGAAAGTAACAACATTGCTTGATTTTTTGCCTCCAAGATAAAAGTTTCAGTACAGGCTTTAGTGTTTCTTGTTTTTGTTTTTCCTGTTCATACAAAATTACCTAAAAGTAGCTAAATGTCAGATGCTGTTCTGATTGCTTTAGATTTGTTCTTTGACCTTATTTTCTGCAGATTGTTTGACAAATACTAAACTTATATGTCAGGTGCCGAACTAGCATTTCTACACTTTGGTCAAATATACTGCAATAAATAACATTTTCTTTGGGGTGGTATACAAAGGTGATTGAACTTACAGTGTAGGAGGATACAGACATTTAAAAAGGTAAAATGAATGGGGCATGGTAGGATGCCCCTGTCATCCTTAGCACTGGGGAGGTAGAGGAAGGACAATCAGAATTCAGGAGTCATCCTTGGTTATATAGTTTGGGCTACATAAGACTCTGGCTCAAAAAACAAACTAGGGAGGGAGAAGCAAAATCAGGAACCTAAAGTTTAAGGAATTCCTAGTGGAAGTATGTAATAAACTAGGAAGTGATAAACTGGAATGGCTGGTTTCTTCCAAAAATGTTTGAGAGGATGTGGAGATTGGTTGAATGGTAGCCCGTACGATCCCTTCAGACCTTCCAGTGTTCCGACCATCTGTAATGAGTGGTGACTGACACCTGTCCTGAATGAACTCCTGAGCTAGGTTGTAGTACAAGCTAGAAAAGGAAGACTTCCGAAGGAGAGATTGGATTTGGTGGTGCACAGCTTTAATCCCAGGGCTCTGGAGGGGGAGGCTGGTCTACGGAGAGAGTTTCAGGAAAGCCAGGGCTATACAGAGAAACTCTGTCTCCAAAACAACACCTCCCCTTTAAAAACAAAAAACAAAAACCCAAACAACAACAACAAAAAAAGAGATAATGCTTAAGAGTTACTCAGGGAAAATTGTTGCGTTTATGTTTTATGGCTTTTTAGAGCATGCGCTTCCCTTTTTGCCCACTTTTACCTTTTTTCTATACTCAGTTTCAGATTGACTTTGTTTTTATTTTATTTTAATTTGTGGCTGGCTTGCTAGCACTGGCTGCGCTGCAGCTCGTGATGTAGACTAGGCTGATGGGGTTTCCTGCCTCTGCCCTGAGTGCTGTGATTATGGGCTTGAACCACCACATGGTTTTGCCGTTTGACTTTGGAAGAAGTTTTTTATCCTTGTTACTTTAAAGGAGGAAAACTTCAGGACTAGATCGTTAAAGTTAAATTCTGTAAAGTTTTGTGTCCAGAAACAAGCATCAAGTGTCTCTAGCCTCTAGAGTGAAACCACCTTTCTAATATTTGCATGTAGACCTTTCCAGCCCAAACTGATTCTTCCTGTTGTGTTTCTGTAGAGATTTATCGATGACCCAATATAGCACACAGCCGTCACAGTAAGTCTTTTTAGTATGTGAATGAGCACCACACCTGTTTGGAGGAATATTGTGGTGGAATAATGCTGTCAAGGGTGTATCAGCTTGCATTTATTAATAGTCTGCAGAATTTTATTTCTCTGTATATAATTTGTATTTAGCCTAGTTTGAAATGTTGAC